TACATGGGGCCCCTGGGTGGCTTAGTCGGTTAAGCGTTTGGCTTTGGCTCAGGTCATGATCTCGTGGTTCACGAGTTCGAGCCGCTCATTGGGTTCTGTGCTGACAGCTCAGAGCCTGGAGCCTGCTTTGGATTCTGTCTCCCTCTCTCTGTGCTCCTCCCCCATTCGCTCTCAGTCTCTCTCTCTCTCAAAAATAAAAACATTAAAAATAAACAAACAAACAAACAAACAAATAAATAAATGGAATCATACAACATGTGGGTTTTTGTGATGCCTTTCACTTAGCATGATGTTTTCAAGGTTCAACCACATTGCAACGTGTATCAGTAGCTTTATGTTGCCAAATTATATTCCGTTGTGTGGATGGACTACATTTTGTCCATCTATCAGTTGCTGGACATTGGGTTCTTCTAAATGAGGGTAAAGCAAAAATGGGGTCATTTCTTTTCTCCCCAAACCCCTTCCCTCTTCCTCCAGACCCCAAAAGGCTGCTTTGATTATCTGGAAGGCTATGAGTTCAGAGAACTCAAAAGAAGCAAGAAGAACCCCATTTGTTTAAAGCCTAAGGAGCGTTTAACTGTTGTTCACAACTCTTCGTCTCGTTTGGCCATGTGTCCCCACCCCCATCCCACCCCTGGTAGGAATGGATGCTTCTGTGGAAAAGGGGATAGAAGCAGAAATCGCAAGGTACATATGTCTTATTCAACACTGGATCCCCTAGGACCTAGTACTGAGCCTGGCACACAGTAGTCACTCAATAAATATTTGTTCAGTGAATAAATAAGTCAGTGCTGAACTGCCTGCTTCTTGGGTGGGAGTCTCTAACCACTGGGGGACCCCAGAGCCTACTAATGAGAGGCTGCCTTTCCCTTGCAGTCATCAAGAGCCCTCCAGGCTGGGAGGTGGGTGTCTACACCGCTGGGGCCCTGGCGCTGCTGGGAATTGCGGCCGTGAGCCTGTGGAAGCTCTGGACATCGGGGAGCTTCCCCAGCCCCTCCCCGTTCCCTAACTACGACTATAGGTACCTTCAGCAGAAGTATGGCGAGACCTACGCAGAGGCCAAGCAGAAGGTGAGGCTTCTATCCCGGGGGTGGCCTCCCCTCCCTCCCCGCTCCCTTGCTCTCTCCTGGTTAATTTCCTCCTGTGAACAGACACCCTGGTCCTCCTCCACGTTTCCAACATAGCCCAGTGCTGCGAAATCAGTGAATACTCGGTGAGGGACTGAAAGTTTTCAGTTTTAAAAACCCTCCTGGGAAAAATACAGGAAAAAAACAAGCAAAACCCCTCCCCAAATGTCACCACCCAGTGGCAAATAACTGTTAACTGTATTTTAACTATTAACATTTGGATTTCTTTCTCTCCGGTATTTTTAATGTATCCTCCAGTCTTTTTTCCATGCATAGGTTTTTATACAACGGGTGTCATTTCTACACAGAATTTTATACCCTGCTCTTTTCATCTCCCAGCCGAAAGCATTTTCCCATAATGGTGAGCCCCCGTCATAAGTATTTATTTAGCGTCAGCTTCCTTTTTTATGTACGTGCCATGATTTACTAAATGCCATTGTAAATAATGCAGTGAATGTTGTATATGTAAAACTTTGTCTTCATTAGGGTTATGTACTTTGAATGGATGCCCAGATGTGGAATTACGTGTCAGGGACTACAAACACTTTTAGGGCTCTCAATATATACTGCTGAATGCTTCATCATTAGACACTTGGCAGAGAATTTTTCTAGTATCATATAGAGTTCCAGAGAGCACAGCCAGAATCTTTTACCAGATAGCAGCCCCACATGCTCATTCGTTTGGGGTGTGAAGCAGGACTATCTCCCGTGGGGGGCGGGGAGGGAGGAGGGGAGAGAGAGGCGGAGGCTGTAAATTGGCACAACTTTCCCAAAGAGCATTTTGGCAACATGTGTCAGCAGCTTTCGCAAGGACTGTGTCCTCTGAGCTAGGATTTTAAGAAAGCTATTTGATTCTGCATTATTTATATTTGTGAAAAATTAGAAACAACATAAATGTCCAACAGTAGGGGGTCTGTAAGGTAATCACAGCTGTCCATTCAGGGACAAATTGGTGGCCCATTTTTAAGATGATAGTAATGGGGGGCACCTGGGTGGCTCCGTCGGTTAAAAGTCTGATTTCACCTTAGGTCATGATCTCGCGGTTCGTGGGTTCGAGCCCTGCCTCGGGCTCTGTGATGACAGCTCAGAGCCTGGAGCCTGCTTTGGAGTCTGTGTCTCCCTGTCTCTCTGCCCCTTCTCTGCTCACGCTCTGTCGCTCTCTCTCAAAAATAAGTAAACGTTAAAAAACATTTTTTTTTTTAAATGATGGTAAAATGAGGGCTATGCAACAGCATGGGAGATGCTTGTGGCACAAAGACTTTTGTTTTCCCAAATCCCGAGGTCAACTTAGTGAAAGGAAAAATTTGAGTTTTAGGATGAGTGTTACCCAACACGAAAACCTTCTGTTGTGAACATTCTGGTAAGCATCCTTGGAGGCTGCTCAGTAATCTGTTGAGTAGCTATCGTCTAGTTATTCGTACCCGTTCCCCCTGCTAACTACTTTTCCTTTAAAATTTTTAAGGTTTTTGTTTATTTTTGAGAGAGAGAGACAGAGAGACAGAGTGTAAGTGGGGGAGGGGCAGAAAGAGAAGGAGACAGAATCCAAAGCGCTGTCAGCACAGAGCCCGACGCAGGACTCGAACTCACGAACTGTGAGATCATGACCGGAGCCAAAGCCAGACGCGTAACCGACTGAGCCACCCGGGCGCCCTACTACTTTTCCTTCTTACAAACGTCACTGCAGTGAACATCTTTGTGCGTGGAACTCAGTCCGTATCACGAAGCGTTTTGAGAAAAAGCTTTCTTTCCTCGGGGTTCGGGAGAGAAAGGTGAGTGATGTGAAATGGCATTAAACAAAGACCTTCCTGACTAGGGCAGGCACCGTTTCTGCACACAGGGAACGGAGGTGCCTTGAATGAACAGGGCTTACGAGACCAACCAACAGCCTGTTGCATCTGCCATGCTCCCATGTCCCGTTTTCTCTCCCCCAGAGAGTGCCTGCCTGGAATGCCCAGCGGGCCAGCACTCGGGGACCGCCCAGTCGCAAAGGCAGCCTCAGCATCGAGGACACGTTTGAGAGCATCAGCGAGCTGGGGCCCCTGGAGCTGATGGGCCGGGAGCTGGACCTGGCCCCCTACGGGACCCTCCGCAAGTCCCAGTCGGCCGACTCCCTGAACTCCATCTCCTCCGTGAGCAACACCTTCGGGCAGGACTTCACGCTGGGCCAGGTGGAAGTAAGCATGGACTACGATGCCGCCTCCCACACCCTCCATGTGGCCGTGCTGCAGGGCAAGGACCTCCTGGAGCGCGAAGAAGCCGGTTTCGAGTCCTGCTTCATGCGCGTCAGCCTGCTGCCCGATGAGCAGATCGTGGGCATTTCCCGGGTGAGTGGGGGCAGGGGAGGCACGCGCGGGGCTCTCGGGGAGCCCTCCCCAGGTCGCCAGGCCCGCGGGGCCGGGCCGGATGTGAGGAGGGTGCTACGCGGCAGCTCTGGGTGCTAATCCCAGAGCCGGAGGTGTCACCAGCCTGACGTCTCCCGCTGTGCGCGGTTCTCGGCAATCCTACCACGTATATCCAGTGGGTGGCAACTGTCCGTTCCCATGCCTGTCCCCCGGGTCGGCTTGGGGTCCGGGTGGGAAAGGGGTGACGTGTTCAAGTTGGCTAATTTGGGGACAGCTTAATGACAGGACTGTTAACAGTGGTGTGGGGCGGCCTCAGTGATGGAGCGGCACCCTCGTCTGAAGGGGCGACGGGAAGGGGAGGCCAAAGGGGAGAGGCGCGTGGCGGGGCTGCCACATTGATAGGCGCTGTGCCCTTTGGTCAGGGGACATGCTCAGACCACAGCAGTACCGCAGGGAAGGACCTAGGGAAAGAGCACCCCCAGCTCCCTGGGTCCTCTGGTTTCCCTGGAGTGACCCCCATTGTCCGACCCCAGACCCCACCAGAAGCCAGAGGCCGAAGGAGCCTGTTGATCAGCCCATGGAGGTCAGCTCCTGGGGGTGGGAACAGGGTGGGGAAGGCACCCAGCACCCTGCCCCACCAGGCTACCCCTCCATGGGTCCCTCTGTCTCGCCAAGAGAGGGAGCAAAGCCTTCATGAGACACGTTCTACTCCAGGCTGGATTAGGGGGAGCAGGGGCCCAGATGCCACGGTTGGGAGTCCTCTGAGGTGGGTAAGGTCGACACCCAGTGGCCTCTAACCAAAGCAGGTGGAGCCTGAGGGTCTGTAGGACCTAGTGCTTTCTGAAGAGTCACCTATGTCCAGTCACTCTACGGTGTTGAAGCGGGCTGTCCCTCGGGGGTGGACACCATCATCCCTCTCCCAGCCCACCCTGCCTCCCTCACCCCGGGATGGTCAACAACTGACCACAACCCTGTGCGTGTGGGGCCCAAGAGAGGCAGTTGGTGAGTGGTAAGGAGCAGGACCCTAAAACCTCACCCTCTGGGTTGAAATATCAGTGTCCCACTTCCTAGTAGCGTGACCTTGGATAAGTCCATGAGCTCTCTGCGACCCAGCTTCCCCATCTGTCATATGAGCAACATAATTCTTGAGGAAGGGGTGTGCTACTACATGCAAAGTCCTCAGCCCAGTCCCTGGGAAGTGATCAACAGATTGTGTATCAGGACCATGAAGTGTCCCTGTTGAGCCTGGATCCACGCTGCCTATGGCCTGGACTGCCTAGAAGATCCTGGGTGGTTCTGGACACCTTCCGTGAGAAGGGACATTAGCAGACAGGAGCCACCACAGCCTGATGTGTGCTGAGAGTCTGGTTCACAGAGCCCACCCATCCGTGATTCTCTCATTAGCCCCAGTGGGATGGACCGAGGGCATCTTACAGATGAGGAAACAGGTTCAGGAGAGTGCTTTGCCCAACACATCCCCAGGACCTGGCCCGGGGGTTCCCATTTCCCGTCAGCTGTGTGCTCATAAAACATAACACACAGAGAATGGATAGTTCGGGAACCCGAGCCCCTGTGGACAAGGGACAGCAAAGTGACTCATGTGGCAGGAGGAGGGAGAGATGGGGCCAGATCATGAAAAGCCTAAATGCCAAGGTCAAGATCAGGAGGTAGACTTAATCCCACAGGGGAAGGAGCTCTTGAAGGTCCTCAGTCGGGCAATTGGGTGGGGAACGTGGCTCCCAGGGAGCAGTGGAAGAGGAACCTTCCCACGAGCCAGGCAGTGACCAGAGTGTGCTTCAGTGCGCCTGGAGGTGCTGGCAGATTCATTCCCAGGAAGGCAGGCCTCTCAGCATCCTAGCCCAGCTAGTCCCAGCAAGTAGGTGGCTGCCCCCAGGCTGGGCAGCCCCCCAGCCTCAGGTGAAGTGCCAGAGATGAGAGCTCCTCTCTAAATATTGCCAGGCAGTGACTAAGGCAACCCCCAATGGCAAAGGGGAGCCGTGCCCACCAGGACACCTTCCCGGGGGGGTCTGCCCACAGCTTCCTGGGAGGAGGCCAGAGGCACCCACCAGGCAGGACGGGGCTTGGAAGTGGAGTCTTCCCAGCCTCGCCCGATCACTCCGTCCGTCCATCCATCCCACAACATTCAGACCATCCTGGGCCAGGCTCTGCGGGGGCCGGGACATCAGCGGCTCTCGACTCCACAATTATCTGTACTTACTGCACGCCTGGCCCAAGGCTGGACCTGAACACACACGACAAAGAGGAGACCAGTCTCTCCTGGGCATCGCGAGGGTTCTGTGGAGCCGTGCGCACTGAGGGTGGGAATTAGTTGGTGTCGGAGTGTGGAAGCTTCCAATGCCAGGCCGCCACTGAGAGGAGGACAGGGGGCTTTTAAATGCTCAGGGCTGGGGTAGCCGGCTGGCTCAGTCAGTAGAGCACGCGACTCTTAAATCTCAGGGCTGGGGGTTTAAGGCCCACGTCGGGTGTGGAGCCTACTTAAAAAAAAAAAAAAAAAAAAAAAAAAAAAATCCCCAAGGCTGAGCCACCAAAGAAAGAATTGGCATTGAGGTCGTGGGACAGCAGAGCCAGGACTCGAGCCCAGGCCTCTGGACTCTCTGTCCGGTGCTCTCTCCCCACCATGGCCTCACGGGCGTCTGGCTGCCACCTCCTCCCCAGAGCTGAAGCTCCCTCCACGTCCCTTTCTCTGTGCAGATCCAGAGGAATGCCTACTCCATCTTCTTTGACGAGAAGTTCTCCATTCCCCTGGACCCTGCGGCCCTGGAGGAGAAGAGCCTGCGGTTTTCCGTGTTTGGCATCGATGAGGACGAGCGGAACATCAGCACGGGCGTGGTGGAGCTGAAGCTTTCTGTGCTCGACCTCCCGCTACAGCCCTTCAGCGGCTGGCTCTACCTACAGGACCAGAACAAGGTCAGTCCACCCATGAAGAGAGCGTCACACGCACCCGTCTCCGAGCGGGGAGTCCACTGTCCTCCACGACAGCCCGAGCCCTGACTTCTTTAGGAAATGACAGAGAGAGAGGCCTGAGCCACATTCGCAGAAACTGTTTACTGCATGAAGCAAAAATGCCCTGATTACTGTTTACCACTCTTCTGTCGTTGCTATTTAAGCAAATGATTATACGAACCCCAGTCCACTTGCACCTCTGTGTGCTACTACTACAGAATGTTTTCCCTGGGCTGGAATGAGGGACTGCATCTGGTTGCTACAGGCAACCTCTGGTCCTCCTTCCAAGGCAGGACCCAGGCCTGGTGGGAGGGAGGGCTGGCGCATGCCTCGTGGAGCGGGAAGTGGGGTCCCTTTCTCAATCCCACCAGCCTGGTGCCTCATGTAAGGGCAAGAGTAAAAACTTCTCAGTGGAGAAGGGAGTTCCTGCCTTTCCCTGGACCTCTCAAGTCCTCAGGGGGGCCTCGGAAGCCCTCTGAGCCAGTCACCTGTCCTCCAGGCTGCCGACGCTGTGGGCGAGATCTTGCTGTCCCTCAGCTACCTCCCTACGGCTGAGCGCCTCACTGTGGTGGTGGTGAAGGCCAAGAATCTCATCTGGACCAACGACAAGACCACGGCAGGTAAGGCCCTGCTGGCTGGCTGGCTCCTTCATGTGGCTGGTGGGAGCTGTGACCCAGCTGCTAGACCAAGGGCAGCGGGAGGCGTCAGCAGGTGTGGGGCATCGTACCAGGCCCCTCCACCCCCAGCTTTGGCCGAGCTCAGGAGCCAGGAGCTCAGGAGTTCGGGATGGTGGGGGAGATGGGAGTCTGAGAGCAGGTGCCTGGGGTGCTGGGAAGAAACCACGGTAGACAGACACCCGCTTCCCAGGACTAGAATTCATGACAGAAGCTCCACTCCCAGAAATTGGACTGTATCCCAGATCCCACATGGGGGCCAGGGCCACCAGGATGGTGTGGGTGCCAGGCAGGACCTGATGCCCCTAGTCTACAGGAGCAGAACTAGAAACCAAGGGCTGGGGGAACGACCTAGCGGGAGCCTCGGGGGATCCACGGTCCAGGCAGGTACAGCAAGGACACCCAGTGCGGGGAGGGTGACAAGTAGAGAGGGCCTCATTATTTCAGAGTCGGGCTCCACTGAGCGGGCGCAGGGTGACTCAGGCCTGACGTCTGTGCTCATTATAGAATGAGAAGCGGTGGGTCCTTCCCACTCCCCAGAGCGTCACGTGAAGGGAGCACTTGTGTGGGCCGGGAGGCAGGCTGCCTGAGCCCAGGGCCCAGCTCTTCTCCCGACTCGTGTAGGAGCCTCAGTTTTCTCATCTGTAAAATAGGAAAGAAATAAAGGCCCAATGGCAGGACTGTAGGAGATAATGGCAACAGAGAAGGCTCGGGGCACTTGGAGCCAGCGGGCTGCGAGGACCAGGCAGAGCTATGCCAAGTGGATGTGGCCTTGGCCCTGACCCCCACCCCTTGCTCACCCACAGACCCCTTCGTCAAAGTGTACCTGCTTCAGGATGGGAGGAAGATGAGCAAAAAGAAGACAGCCGTGAAGAGGGATGACCCCAACCCAGTGTTCAACGAAGCCATGATCTTCTCGGTGCCAGCCATCGTGCTCCAGGTGAGGGGGGATGGCTCAGGGGTGGAGGCCAGGCCAGGTGGCTCCTGGGCTCTGGGGCCACCCCAGGCCCTCGGCCTAGCTTCTTAGGGTTCCTGCAGGTGGCGCTGGTTTGTCTCAAGCCCTCCCCTTTCTAGTTGAGAGGCATTTATGGAGCACCCACTAGGTAGTAGCCCTGTGGTCAGTGCTGGGACACAGGCACTGCTTCCTTGTTGCTCACAAGGGGAAGGTGGAAAATCCCCAGACAATCCTTTTTTTTTTGAGAGGGGGGGGGGCACAAGTGAACGAGGGCAGATAGAGGGAGACAGAGAGAATCCCATGAGGGGCAGAGAGAGAGAGAGGGAAGCAGGGCTCACCCGAAGAGGGGCTCGTACTCACCTGATGCAGGACTCGAACTCACAAACCAGGAGATCATGACCTGAGCTGAAGTCAGATGCTTAACTGACTGAGCCACCCAGGCGCCTCTCCAGACAATCCTAACCCACTAAGCGCATGCCAGACTTTGGCAGCCCGGGGAGGCTTTTACGAGAGGGGTTAGCTAAGCCGAGATCTGGGGGAAGCCGGTTCCTGGAGGAAGGAGCTGCAAAGGCCTGGAGATGAGCCAGGGGAGCCCGAGGGCCCACAGTTCTGGCCCGAGGTCTCTGGAGACTCTACCTGCAGAGACCCTGCCGAGCTCCCCACACCTCCATGGCTCTCAGAAGGTCATGGGCCCCAGGGAGACCCCTCTCCTGGCACAGATATCACAGACCAAGGGTGGGGGATTACAGAGGATATGGCCTGTGCCACACCGGTGGCCCTGCTTGCATGCCTCAGAGGATGGGGAGCTTACCACCTCCCCTCACTACCTCCTTCCATGCTGGGGCATTCCTGCCAGTGAGAACGTCCTTTTGTGCCCTGAGCCAAAACCTGCCCCTGAGTCACGGGGCTGTACAGAACCCACCTAATCTGACACCCCATCTGAATTTGAAAGCCCAGAACTCTGCCTTACTCTGGAAGCTCCTAATCCAGGCAAACATCCCAGTGTCTGGAGTTGGTGCTGGGTGTCCTTGCCTTGTCCTGCCACCCTCGTGGGACAGACGGTCCATCTGTCCCCTACTTCCCTCGGAGCGGCTGTAGTGCCGCTCGTCCACAGCCTCCGAGGGTGGGAGACCTCTTCGGGCCAGGGCGGCGGTGGAGGAAGAGGGAGAGCGGGGGTGAGGAGAAGAGAGAGAGGGTCAGTCTGGGTTCGGGTTTCAACCTCTCCACTTCGATCTCAAGCACATTCTTTTCCTTCCTCAGCTGTGAGTCCAACATGTGATCATATTAGGAATAACCAGACATCTGAGATGCTCTGTGTACAGGCACTATTCTAAGCAGTCGACACATTTTAACTCATTTTGTTCCCGGTACAGGTAGAAACTATGATTATTACCATCCTCCAGATGGGAGGCTAAGTAGGAAGAACCCAAGGTCACACAGCAAGGGAGGTGGTGAGGCCAGCATCTGAACCTGGCAGTCCAGAGCCGCCACTGTGTCGGGAGGCAGCAGCAGAAGCCTGTGGGCATAGGCAGATCAGGGGTGCAGATTCAGGGAGCCACTCCTGGCAGCCCGCTGGGGCCTGGCACCTGTAGACAGGGTCCTGGGAGCCACGGAGGGCCTCCGGCACTGCCCCCGGTCCCCAGCACCCATGTCACTTCCTCCCTAGGACCTGTCTCTCCGTGTGACGGTGGCTGAGAGTAGCAGCGATGGCCGAGGGGACAACGTGGGCCATGTCATCATCGGGCCGTCAGCCAGTGGCATGGGCACCACGCACTGGAACCAGATGCTGGCCACGCTGCGCAGGCCCGTGTCCATGTGGCACCCTGTGCGGCGAAACTAGCAGCTGGAAAACGGGCCAGGGTGGGCACTGAGCTGCCTGGGGCCCGGCGCAAGCTCCGCTCTGATGCCCCTCCATAGTCCAGCAGGAGCCATAAATGCTGGGGTCCCCCACTGGAGCCCCCATGAGCCATCTTGGTCCGTCTGTCCAGACTGCAGTGGAGGAACAGGCCTGGCCAGGTGTCTAGGGACCCAGGATTTTCTCCCACTGAGGACCAGCTGTGGCTGGGCTGTGACCCAGGAACGGGCAGCCTGGCACTGGCCCTTTGTGCCCCCATTTTGAGATCCCCAACAGGCTGCTGGGAGGCCAGTGCCAAGCTCGGCCACATGTAGGAACCGAGTGAGTCTTGGGGGCCAGGTGCTGTGCTAGGCACCAGCAGTCGTGACATGAACAGGACACAGCCCCTAGCATGTCCGGAGGGCAAGACCCCTGCCCTGGGGATCTGCTCAGTGCTGAATGTGGACTTGGGAGGGCTCTGGGGTCTGCTAGGACGAGATGGGAGCCGAGCCCTGAGGGGCAGGGAAAGAACTAAATGTGTCCCAGGCAGGCAGCCAGCCTCAGCAAGGCAGGGACATGAACTTCCGTATCACAAACTGTCCTACTGCAGTGGACACGAGGGCCTTTCTCTGTGCAAGAGAAGTGACCAGGAGACCAGGCCAAGCAGAGGCCTGCAGGGTGCGGCAAACACTGGCTCTGGAATCACGCTCTATGAAATCTGCTCCCTTGAACCGTGACCCTTGCAAAGCCCAGAGGTCTGAAGAGGCCCAGAGCCAGGTCCTTGTGTTCGGTCCCAACTGAATTAGGCATTGGCTCCACGGCGTTTGTTGGGGTACCTCCAGGCTAGGCCCTGTTGGGAAGAGAGATGCCTCGGCCTCTAGGGAGCTGGAGGGCAGTGGGAGGGCCAGAATACAGACTGCAGGGGGCCCATGGGAGAGGCTTTTGTGGGCTGCCCGTGCGTGGTGCAGCAGGAGGCCCTCGAGCTGGGCCTTGGAGGAAAGGGGCTGCCTGAGCTGGGGCATTGAGGGGAAGTGGAGGGGTGTCCGGATGGAGGGTGGGGTGGGGGCAGGTTTGAATGCCAGACGGGGAAGGAGGTGGCACTGGGTGTCCTAGGTCGAGTTCCAAAAGCAGACCCTGAGATTCTCAGGCGAGGGGTTTATGCAGGGTGGGGGTGGGGGGGAGGCAGGGAGCCCTCTGGAGAAAACCGTAGGGGAGAGAGGAAAGCCAGGGAGCAGGGACAGAAGCTAAGTAAGTTGTGGCTTTAGGAGTGTCTAGCTCCAGGCTGATGGCTTGAAGTCTGATGGAGGAGCTCTGTGACTGGCACCCCACAGGGGTCCTGCCCAGAAGCAAACGGGCTGGGCTGTTTTCCCCCCACAGGGCTTTGGCTACCACCCCACCCCAGCTGGAGGAAGAGCGTATACCTTCCAGATGTCGCCGGTTGAGGCGCCTCCCATCCGCCAAAGGCGGCCCCAGAGAAGCAGGCGGCCGAGGGGTGGGTGCCCCTGCTGGTTCATCAGGATGGGGTGGGGAGCGGGGCGTGTTGTGGCATCTGCTCCCAGGGGCCACCCTCAGGTCAGGACATGGGCCCTCCGGCTGGCTGCCTCTGGTCCTGATGAGCTATAGAGACCCAGGCCCAACCAGTTATCTCCAGTGATGCTGTGGGAGCCCAGAGTGGTCATGGGCTGGAGGCAGAACTGTGGCTCTCCCCACCTAACACAGCTGTGGCCCAGGCCTGTGGCCCATACCAGGAGGTCTGCACGGCCCAGGCCAGCACAGGGTCCGGGGACACAGCTGGTGAGCCTCTGGAGCCGGGGAGACGCCAGACTCTTTTCTGCCCCAGTGGCTCCGCAGCATAGGCCATTTACTCCCACCTTCTCTTCCCCCTCTTTCTGTCCCTCTGACTGCATGAAATGTTGACTGTGTACCCGAGATGGGCATGGTGGGGACCAAGTCTGCTGACTGGAATGATTCTAGAACCAAAATAAAGCTGGGGCAGGAAGGAGGGGGCTTCCAGGGAGCCTTGCTCAGCCCCAAATCACCTTGGTCTCTTCTCCAGGAATCAGGGACTCGTGTGGGTTACTCTGAGTAGATTACCCTGCTGCTGGGTGCCCAGAGGGAAAGGAGACCACCACAGGGACCAATGCCATCAGACTGCTTGGGAAGCTCTAAGAGGGGGACCCTGAGTCAGGTCTGGCGTGGAGGATAGCGTTAGGGAATATCACGGAGGGCTTCCTGGTGGTATCGCTGAGTTGTCTTCAGGGCAAAAAGAAGTGTAAGGTTGAAAAAGGTGGATAAGGCCTAAAAAGCATTCCTGGAAGAGAGGACAACATGCACAAAAGGGCAGGAGTGGGCAAAAACTTGGCCAATTTGTCAACCTTGCTAGAGCAAAGTTGGGGGAGGCTGGGGAGAAGGGAGCCAGAAGAAGGGCTTAGAGGGGAGGAGGGTGGTGCAAGTCCAGTGCGTGCTGGTACCAGCCACAACCCTGCCTACTTGGAGGGAGGTACCGTTGCACTGTGGTCGTCCCCTTTTTTGCAGAGATGGAAACCGAAGCTCAGAGAAGTTAGGCAACTAGTCCAAGATCACACAGCCAGAAAGTCTCAGAGCAGGCATTCAAGCTCCGGCTGTCTGGCTCCACAGCTCAGGCTCTTAACCATCAAGCTACACTGTCCCCCTTTCACCAAGTCCTCCAGGTGGGGCTGAGGGGCAGCGGAGAAGCCCCTGTGGATCCCAGGCTGCTCTGGTTTCCCCCTCCCCTGCCCTGGAGGATCACAGCAAGTGCTGGAGGATGATCTGGGTGGGGATTAGCAGCCGCCCCCAGGAAGCCTGTGAAGAGCTCTCGTGGACTCCCCCTCTTGCTGGAGGAGACGAAAGCATGAGCCTTGCAGTGTAGGGAGGACTGTGCACCTGGTGGAGGAGAGAGGGACCCCCCAGGCAGGGGAACTACTTGGTGTTGCATGTGTCCGGGGAGCCACACAGCCACTGGGCCCGGTCAGAGGAGCAGGTCACAGGGAGGGAGGAAGAGGCTTCTGAGCGGCTTTGGAAGTGATGCGCAGGGACACCGGCGAGCGCTGCTCTTGGTCAGCGCGGGGCAGTCTGAGCTGCTTCTCAGTTTCAGGTTCATTCCGCACAGCCCAGAGTGCACTAGTGACCTCTCTTTCTGCCTATACCCCCCACCCCACCCATTCTTCCCCCTCCCAGCCCTAGGCCCGTGGGCCTGCCCCCAGTGTCCCAGGCCCCCTCCATCTGGGAGCCTTCAGGGATCAGCCGAGCCGCACCCAAAAGCACAGGTATGGAGGTCAGTGACCTGACCTCGGCAGCGGCTGGGCCACACCTGCGTGTGGAGGGGCAGGGCGAGCCACTGTATCATCCGCAGCCGACTGCCGCTCAGACCTTCACTTCCTCTCTCCTGCCCCGGTCATCTATGCCTGCAGACACCCAAAGGGACAAACAGAAAGGCTAAATAAACACTAAGATTGGGCCACGAGGGCCCCTCAGCCTCTGCCCACCCTCACCCATTATCAACCTCATTCCACCCAGAAGGATCGAGAATGGGGAGGCGGGGAGAGGCGGCAAGGGCAGGAGTCCTGCCTCCCCAGCCCTGAAGTCCAGTTAAATGGTAGCTGGAGTTGAGCTGATCTGGGGGAGACCGGACAGAAGGGACCTTGGGAGAAGAGGCACTTCTGGGTTCTACCTGCCATGGTTTGGACAAGTCCCTTCCTGTTGAGAGCCTCAGTTTCCCCATCTTGTCCCCTTCTTGTCTTAAGAAGAACTCTAAAGGCTCCCCACACCTCTGACTTTTGGGGATTCTGTGTGGAGGAGCTCTAAGGCCCCAAATGCCTTGGTTAGAATCTCAGCTTCTCCACGTATCAGCTGTGGGATCTTGGGCAAATTATCTGTCCTCTTTAGGCCTCAGTTTCCTCCTTTGTCGAAGGATAAGAATAATACATGATAGGATGGAATGAAATGTACACGTGCCAAGTGTATGTCACCCAGGAGATGCTCAGTAAACGTGCGGCCAGGGTTTTGGGTGAAAGAGTTCTGGCCACGGGCAAGACCTCTTGGGATCTGGTGTTTGAGATGAAAGGGAGGGGAGGGCACATAGGGAGGCGGGAGGAGCAAAAATCCCACCAAGGCATCCCAAGGGTGCGTAACTGGACCTCTGAAGTTCCATGCACCACCGGCACCCACGTTCCCTCTCCTTCAACCACCCATACGCACCCCACGCCCCAAGGCAGGAACTCCAAGCAGAGCCCACAGCCCTCATGATGATGGTGCAGGGAGCAGAGCGGCCACATGGCGGCAGCAGAGACTCGGCTGGGGCCCCAGGGAACTCCTGGCCTCAGGGTGGATGCGGTGGGATGCCAGGTGGGCTTGAGCAGATGGAGGCTGGAGGGTGGTCACCTGTCTGCTGACCCTGCAGTCAGGTCATGCACTGTATTTACTCAACTATGCGATCATTTGTTCCTGTTTTCATTTCTCCAAGTTTGTCTATTCTTTTGAGTCAACCAATCTTCCTTCTTTCCTTCCTCTCCTCTCTGCCCCATTTTCCTTCCTTTCCCCTCTGTCCAACCAGGCAGTCAATTGGACATAACATCTTGAGCCACAGCTGGGCGCCAGCCTGGGGCAGGCACTGCTGTCTAGGGGTACAGAGGTTGGCCTTGGTCTCTGGCCTTTAGGTGCTCAAGGCTGGGGGCTGGAAGATCCTGCCTGGCCACCTGCATCCCCAGGAGAGGATTCCATGGCAGGCCGAGGGCCAGCCTGGCCACCTCTGATGTTCTGGGGTCTGCAAGGCAGTTGCCCACTGTGCAGAGTGGCAGAAGAGCTCTGGACTTGGGACTGGTGGGGTCTCAAGGGACAGAGACATCCACAGGCCTTCAAGGATAGCCCCCCCCCCCCCCCCAGAAAACAGTAAACAGTACCCTGGCCAGGCAGACTGTGACCTGGGCCACCTCCAAAGTAAGCCCCAGTAAAATGGTGCTGTCCAGGGCCCAGCAATATCTGAGATTCAGGGAAATCCCTGGCCAACCAGAGCAGATTCCCCTTACCCAGTAACTAAGCTCCCTCCTGCAGAAACATGAGCATAAAGTGGAGGTAAGGCTGGGGCTTCACATCAGGAGATCTGGGTTCAAATCCTGACTGTGTCTAGCTAGGGTGAGATAAGCCACTGCCTTTCTCTGAGCCTCAGTTCCCAAATCTGTAGAATGAAGAAAGCAGATCCCTTGTTCTGCCCACCTCACAGTCTGATGGCTGAATGAAATACTGCATACCAGGTATGATGTCGGGAGAGAGCCCTGCTGCGTGCCCAGACTCGGGTTCCAATTCAAGTTCTACCTCTTACTAGCTGTGAATCTCAAACGGGAAGTGAACCTCTCTGGCCTCCAGGTTCCTCATCTGTAAAATGGGGCTAATGATTCCCACCTGCGAAGGGACAGTGCCTGCACAGGGTTAGCAATCCATCAATGGGCGCTGTTATTATTAGGAAGTGCTCAGTGAAACTGTAAGGCATGACAGACGTCAAGGATATCATTAGAATGATTATCCCTATAGCAACCAAGGCCAAACGCCTCTGCCTGACTCTCAGCTCCCTCCACCCCCAGTCTGGCCCCACCTGCCTCCTAGCCTTGCCACCCAAAGCCTGATGACAGCATCAGTGGGGATGATGAGGCTGACAGCTGATCGTTGGGGGACTGGGCGCCTCCCAGCCACTCCTTGGGGCGGGGAGCCCTGCTCCGTAGCTACACACCCAGCTCAGCACCAAGTCACTGCTCAGCCCTTTGGCAGTTTCGGGGAGGAAAGGGCACCTAAAGGGTGGGGATTTCATGAGATGCTCTCTCTATCCAGGTGAGGCTCCATTCAACCTGCTGCCTGTGGCCCTGGGTGAGCTTGGAATAAGAGTCAGGGGTCTGGGCTCTACCTCTGTGCAATGAAGACAGTGACTCCTGCCCCAGCTGCCTCTTTGGTCCACAGTGAGGTCCAATGGGGGCTCAGTGTGCTTTTCCACCTGCCCAGTTTTGTACATCACAAGGGATGACGTCATGACCTGCGTGGGGAAGGGGGTGTGAAACCCAAAGACTTCTACCCTCTCTGTTCCTTTGAGCTTCACTGAAAACAGTCAGTCCAGACTCTGGGGAGACCCTTGTGCCCATTTTCAAAAGATTTCAATTCTGGCTGCTAACAGGGGTGGGCAGTCGGGGGACAGTGAGTTTTCATGTCAGTTCTGCATTTATTCCCAGCATCCAGAGTGCTCCACTATCCAGGCCCCATTTGAACCTCAGCTTCTCCTGACACCAGCTCCCCAGCCCGACCTCACCTTCCATCACAGGGAAGGACTACAAACCCCCCAAAGTGCCCCCTCTCTCTTGCCTCCATACTATGCATGTACCGCTCCCTCAGTTTGGAACACCTTTCTCCCTCCCCCTCAACACTCAGCCCCCTCTTCTCAGAAGGGTTTCCTGACCCCCACCCCACCTGGATAAGGAGCCCCTCTTCCCTGCTTCTGTCCTGCTGCCTGTCCCCATCTCTGTTGTAGCTCTAATCACACCGACATCCTCCCTGTCTCCCATCCTAGGCATGGGCTTCTCAGAATAGGGACTTCGTCTTGAACCGTTCAGGGTCCCCAGGCCCTTGGGCGTCAGTGGTGGTTAAATAATAGGGATCACTCACACATGGCACCAACCATGCACCAGACCCTGCTCCTCTAAGCAGTTTATAGATGGAAGGTTCCCTCACTTTCCTTAGATTATGCCACAGCCAAAGGTGAGACAGGTGGTCAGCCACCTGCATCGAAACTTCCTGGTGCTGGCTACTGCAGGGCAGGGCAGGCCAGCCTGGCAGCGCCAGCAACTGACCCATTAGGGCATGGCCGGGTCACCCCCTTCCCACCTGGCCTTCAATATCTGGAGGGAGGATTGTGGTGTGCTCTGATTCCAGAGCCCTGGGGGAAATGCACATTCATTCATTCATTCATTCATCCAAAGTCACTGGCTCCCGTTCGGTGCCCCACCTGTGCTGGGCACCAGGGACCCAGCTCCTGTCCCTGCAAAGCTGGTAGGCCCACCGGGCTGACCCCC